GTGCATTGATTTTGATATTTTTGCCTCTAGGCCGCCTTCCAGGCTCTCTCTCGCTCTCGCTCTCCTCTCCTCTGCTCTCTCTCTCTCTCTCCTCTGCTCGCTTGCTATCTCTCTCTCTCTCTTCTGCTCCCTCTTCTGTCTCTCTCTTTTTTTTTTCTCTTTCTCTCCTCTCTCGTCTCTATTTTTCTCTCTCTCTCTCTCTCGTCACTCTCTCTCTCTCTCTCCTCTCACTCTCTCTCTCTCTCTTGCTCCTCTCTCTCTCTCTCTCTCTCTTCTCTCTCTCTCTCTGCTCTCTCTTCTCTCTCTCTTCTCTTCGCTCGCTTCTCTATCGCTTCCCGCTCTACCGTCTCTCTTAATATATCGTAATATATTTATGTTACTATATATATCTAGCAACCAGCTCCATACCAGATAGAATTATAAACGTCCATGTCACGTTCATATTGTTGAACCTTACGTGAACACGCCCAGTAGAGAGTATAAACTCTCGAGTTATTTATTATGTTGAGGTCACTATAGTGTCGACCGGAAAATTAGTGCTGCCTCAGTGTGTGCCCTGCATATCGCTTAAAGAATTATATATTGTTAAAAATAATTTATGTATATCGCACAATTATTATATTATTAGCCTAGGAATAATAAAATAATAAATCTTAGGAAATCTCCGTCTGCCAAATTCATTATTATGTTGTTAAATTAATTTTTTTTATGTAATAATATAAGCACACGTATGCGTATATTCAGCAGCAGTTTGTCATAAGACATATCAATTCAAATTCCTCACAAGGCGCGCAGTTTCACGGAAATTTATACATAACTATATGTTATTTATATATATAGGGGACTATATAAATATATATATAAACAAAGCTTTCGAGACGTACCGCTCTTCGTCAGGATTGAAACTGACATTAGAATGGAACCATTAAATATAAAACGAAATTACAATGCGTTACAATATAATGAAAATATAAAGTAATGAATGAATACTGATGAATAATGAATAATAATGAATGAATGAAATAGAGAAAATGAATATAGAATTCAAACAATGCGCGCCATGAAGACAGATAGAAGAAAGGCCACACACGCACACGCGCACAAACGCGCGCGCGCGTATATATACATACATATATATATTTTTATTGTATATATATATATCTACTATATATATATATATATATAGTAGTATATAATATTATTTCCATCGGCCGCTAAACCGGGCTAATTCCCACTTTTACGCTGTATAAATAATGCCGTTGTTAGCTGCTCTCGTCGTTGCAACTGACGTTATTATATCTATTTGCTGATTGGTTGCCCTAGCAGCGAGGGCGCTGGGTATCCAGTCCCCGATAGAGTGCATGTTTGTAAATACGTCTGTGGAGATAGAGCTGGTTGAATGTTGTTACTGCATTTATCTGAGCATTTTCTTATATGTGGATTCAAAAAGACTACTTCATATGAAGATTAGATTTTTACTCATACCATGTATATATAATATTAAATTAGGAATGGAGCGAAACGTGTATATCGAGTGTAATTATTTAGACATCACGGTTGACGACAAGCA